GAATTCCCAGTTCCAACACTCTGGGACGCTGAATGCATGTGCAAATGAGGATGGGGAAAGCAGGGAGGTTAGGAAGGAAAAAGACTTGAGAACATGATACGATGCTGGTTTCAAGAGTCTGCAAGAAATTGTTTCTTTTTTCACAGGAAATCCGATGATGACTCGTGGTTGAGCAACGGTACCTATTTGGAACTTAGAAAAGATCTTGGTTTTTCCAAACTGGACCATCCTGTCTTATGGTGAAAAAGTAAAGAAGAAAGATAACGTTAGTGTATTTCTCCCGTGCTTGCTTTCTGAAGCGGCACAAACCTGTGTTTATATATTTAAACAGTACTCTAGGATGATCACTTGTGCTTAGCTTAGCATTGTAACTCATTAATTCTATATTTTCCTCAGTGCGTTTCTTTACAATTTCAAATGTTACCCTGATTGTTTATATGAATGTAGAACACCTTGACATTTCTTTTTATATATAAACTATTTAATAAAAATGAAAGATTGAATGTTCATGTGTGGGTTAAAAAAAGAAGCTTTAGCACTAATTTTCCAAAGTTTAGGGAAGATTCCAATTAAATTTATGCCTTATAAAATTATGTTGTAGAAAAAAAAACTCAGCCTCTCCCAGGTGCATTAAGAAGTGAGAATACCCGGGGTTACTCACCCACGCGTAAGCCACCCAAGTTTAATTTGGTAGCTGAGATATCTTTTTGCTTCAGACAGCTCTTGAATTGCTCATACAGAACAATTCTGCTGGTGCTGGAGTCTGAAGAATATCTTCATTTGCATTTTAGTGGTTAGGGAGAGGATATAAGATTAATGGAATGTATATTTTTATATAAGATGAATATGGCACCTTCTTGAAAAGGAAACATTTGAACTTGTTTCTCCCTATAGTTCTATTGCCTTGTGTGCAAAATTGTACCCTCTTGCTCAGAGAAATTATCATTAATAAGAGAAAAAATTCCAGTTAATTAAATATCACAGTAGCATCCCAAAGAGACAGTAGGAAATTTCTTCTTAGTGAGAGCTGAGTCCTTGAGAAGTTAAGAGACTGTTTCCTGCTTCCCACCCTACTCCTAGTTTTTTGACCCTCCGTTTGATCACCTCCCTTATGAGTATGGAATGTCCCAGTTTAATATAAAACATATAGTTTATTCCACACAGCAGTTTGACTTTGTAAAAGTTTATTAAAGTAACTGATTGTTTTGGATAACTCAACACGTTTTTCTTAAATGCTGTTTTAGTATTTTCTACCTCTTAATAAGCACCATATTTTAGATCTTGTATAAAAAGTTTGCCATCTGCCTTATAGACAAATGTAGAGAATTGATGTTCTTGCTTTGTGTTGTGTTCTGGTAAAGCTTTAAGTAAGTGTCTTACCCCTTTCCTAAACTTTCTTGTTATCCGTATCATTCTTTTGTGAGTTTTGCAGCAGTCTTGAATAATACAGATTATAACTACTGAAAGGGGAACCTTTTTCTTTTTAAATGTGTTATTTCACATTACAATAATATGTGTAGTAGTTGAATTGTGTTATCAAAGCAATTCCAACTTCTGCCCAGTTGACATTAAAACCAAAGCCTGATTGTTAAGCCTTTTATTCTAAAGTCCATAGCAATCCTATGGAATATCAAGTATAATGATGTAGTAAAAAGATTTCTCCAGAAAACACTTTTACTTAAAGAAATTCAGAGCATATCGAATGTTATGAATGAAGAGTAAAATAATTACAGGAAAAGAATGCGTGATTTTTCATTGTCATACCAAATAACCAGTTGGACAATATTGCATTTTCAAAATGGAGAGTTATTTAAAGTGGATCTGTAGCCTTCTGGAATCTGCACGTGACTGGCACTTTAAAACAACTCATTAAATATGGGATTCATTTTATCGAGATGCCAAGATGAACACAATGTGAATATCATTTCCAGTTCTAAGCAGTTGAATGACACAGTCAGATTCTTTGGTGTGTGCTTTGTTCTTTCCATTTCAAGCATTTATCCAAATTCTGCTCACAGGCATGAGGAAGCAGGCTGTAGATTTAAGGGCACTCAAGGGGAAAACAAATGTAGTTTCCACAGTGTGAGGGTAAATGTAGAATCTTAGAAATATTGGCTGTTAAACTGGCCTGCTCCAGAGACTGGCTCAAAAAAGAAAGAAGCAACGAAAGCAAAATGTACAGGCTGAATGGATGTAGCACTGTCATGCAGCATTTGGAAATTCTTTAATTATCCTAATGTTGTTATTTCACTTGCCCTCATGCTTTGTTTTAGAGTCCCAAGGACAACTGGAAGAAACATCACCTCTGTAGTCATCTTATTTGAGATGGGGGTGGGAATGAATTAAAATATGATACAGAATTATTTGCAGATTTTAAAATCTAGTCAGTACTAGCATCTATAAAGGGCTTTTCTGAAATTTAAACAGCTTGGTGATGATCCTGATACTATAAGCTTAAAACTATCTTGAGGGGAAAATGACTTCTTTTTTCCTTCTGTCCATTTTCTCAAAAGCATCTTTCCCCCGAATGTTATGTCTC